TCACATTCCCCCACCCCACATTGTGAGAACAAACAGTTCCCCTACTTAATAATTCACTTCACTTTCATGGGATACCCAGTTACTACGGGCAATTTAGTAGTTGAATAATTTTGTGAAAAATTAATTTATTATCGCCTGCATTATGAATCTGCAGAGACGTGCAGTGCAGTGGTGGAGGATTTTAAATTGCGCCCATGGAGCCGGGGATCCAAGGCTAGGTAATGTGTTCTAATGTTCTCAGCCATATGCATTGTTTTCAGGCCTCATCAGTTTTACATCGATTCCCACTGAAGTGTTTAATTGCATCATGAATATGATCTAATTCTGTCCTTTTCACTGAAACTGGAGCACTCTGCGCAAATGATGTACAGCCTTGACAGCAGCACATCAGGATGTATTTTATATGGAATGTAAATTATAGTGTTAAATTAGCCTGGAAAGATAACTAGCTGGCACAGGGGAATGGACTCAACAGTTTAATTTAGTGTCAAAAGGCCGTGAAGGGATAAATCACCCTTTCTCTCCCCTTTCTCCTTCCTCTACTGTGCCATATTACACTTTAATCATTCTCTCTTTTTTGTCATATCACTTGTTTCTCACTGCTCTCTAGGAAGCTCCATAGAACACCACTGAGTCTCATACAGCTTCGTTGAACTGCTTAAATGTTTGGCCATTTTGAGGACAATTTTTGTGTCCTAGAAAAACAAAGGCACATGCTGTTTCACTTTTCATATTTAAAAATGTTAATGTGTTGGAGCCTTTACTTAAATCGTTTTAACCTTTTGAGTCTGTCTGATCATCCTGAGCCCACCAGAGGGAGCTCCAATTGCTGTTTCACCTCAAATGCCATGATTTCCCATCAGTAAATAAAGATAGTGACTTTGCTGTTGGCAGGCAAATCAATAGGTACATCAGAATTGAAAGATTTTTGCATAAAACGTATATACCTTATTTTACGCACTATGAGGCACACTTAAAATCCTTTAATTTTCTCAAAAATCAACAGTGCGCCTCATAACCCATTGCGCCTTATGTATTACCTCTTGTTGTGCTTACCTCGAACCGATTTTATAAAGTCAAGCCACACAGCGCATTACACACTGGGAGCCAACAATGACGTTTAACTTTGTTATCTCAATTAGAGGATGCTCAACAACAATTATTACAGTATAGTTGTGTAACCCAAATCCGTGCAACGTTGTGTCATGTCTCCCAACACCCGGAGACTCGGGTTGCGTTGTGTTTTTGAATTGCCAATGTATGGTGCCCGGCTGGAAGACTCAGACGTCAACTTAGGTCACTACTGTTTTCCACAAATTTCCGTCCCTTTTGATCTACGACTCCATGCGCGCCCATCTCACCGATATTGTCAAAACCCAAGTGAACCAAACTAATTCAGGGCTTGGCATCATCCCGGGTGGATTAACCACGGAATTCCAAAATACTTCACCTACACTACTACCTAAATATTGGTGTTAACAGGGCGTTTAAAGTTAAATTGCGAGCTGCGTGGAAGCATTAGATGACAGGAGGCGAACACACATTCACCAACACAGGGAGGCAACGCCGGGCGAGTTACGCCACAATCTGCTAATGGATCGTGGATGCCTGGGCTAAGGTATCAGTCTCAAATGTCGTCCGAGCTTTCACAAAGATCGCAATCATCACAGAACAGCTAATTAACAGCAACGAGACTGACTTGAATAATGAAGAGAGGGATCAGGACATGCTTGATTGTTCCGCTTAGTTGTTTCGCTGACTGTTTTGTTTCGCTTAATGTGCCTTATAACCCGGTGCGCCTTATGTATGAAAATATCCCTGTTCATTGATATTGTGCCTTATAATGCGGTGCGCCTGTTGGTCTGAAAAATATATAGTAATACACCTGTACTCTAGCTAGCTAGCTGTTTTATAGTGGTATGATAAGATTAGGAAAAACATGCTAAATTTGAAAATAATGTGGAAAATATATATACACATTCCTTATACCCTTAATATTAGACTGTATAAATTAGAAATACAATGATTGCAATATTTTAGGCAAGATCAGATTTTCAAAAATACTGCAGTTGGACAAAAATGCAGTAACTTTGGGTTGCGAACACCAAAGATGGTGTTAAAATCAAACTTCTGCTTTTAAAGCTGGTTTGCTGGCATCAACCGTGTGCAGGGAATCATTAGTGGTGGTAAATCTGGTTTATTGTACTGACTGGGGTTACTCACCAAAGCCATGTGGTTGACCTGACTTAACCAACTCCCTTGAGATGGTATTGTTTGGCACAATGTGAAAAATATAAAGAGGCTCAAACCTGCCCAGTGAAATGGTTTCTTTTAACCAGTTAGAAGAAAACAACAAACATCCCATATGATTCTAAAGGAACAAATTCACAGTTTTCTTTTTTAGGTACATATGTTCCTTCTCCTTCTCTCTAATTTCTAGGGAGATTGTGGGGAATTTAAAATGTAACCAAAAAAAAAAAAAAAATTTCAGGAAATCAGAAAAAGTTGTTAAGCCGCTCATTGCATCTCTGATGTAGGAGGCAAGTATTTCAAGTTGGCAAGTGCCGGTCTTCACAGTGAAGTCTATAAGACACATGAAACACGTGAAAGCCATTTATTTGCCTTAAAAGAAAGACCTCTCCTCATTTCCTGTACTTGGGGCTCCAGTGCTGTTCAGAGTGCCTTGGCCATTATCTAGAGCTTACCCTCCATGACCCTAATAGGTCTGTGTGCCTGGAAGCAGCCCGCTTACAGCCTGGGCCTATCTTGTTTGATTGTGTCCTTGACAACAACTAGTAGGAACCATCTGTCCAAGATCTGACATTTAATGTGAGAACCCTCCTGATTTTGTGTTCCCAGACTCCTTCCTGTGTTTTGGACATTTATCCATTATTCATTTTTTAAATCCACATCTTATTGGCTTGATTGGCTGAGCAGATGGATACGGAGACATGGAAGTTCAGGGGAGTAAAGGAAAATACATTTGCTACTGTAATATTATATCTTAGTCATTTCAATCTCTTTGTCAACAATTCATGTTAACAACATTGAAAATGGGAGGAGTTGTAGGATTTGCCCCCTGCTGTGGATGTATCAATGCACAGAGGCATTTTATTTGGCATGTACCACTGATGGGGAAACACAAGGTATTTTAGGTTCTGTTCTTAAGGCCAAACTATGCTTATTCAGTTGCATCTCTTCCCTCTAGAATTCTAGAGTCACATGAGATCTATAGTCAGCTCTTTCTGGCTGCTAAAGCCATGATTGACACACAACCAAACTTGGTCCAAACAGTGGGAGTGGGGGTTGTATATCTGGGTCAGTCACATTGATCTGATCTCTTGGTTGCATGGCTCTGAAGCCAGGTTCTCCTGTGTTGACTTGGCTTTAGTTTGGGTGATGGTGAAACATGGCGGCAGGAGTGGTTGCGTTTCTAAGGTAGACTTAAGAAGGTAAGGACTGTAAATGGACTAATCCGTCGCTGCTCACGCCCCCGTGAACCTTCCTTCACCTCAGGGTAATCGCATGACCTGAGGCAAAGAATTACACACATTAAAAAGACAGGAACTTCTGAGCATTGGCATTGAAGCGCGCAATCGATGGGGCCACAGGTGCAAACATTTTCTCCACAGCCAGTTGAATACCACCTTTCCCCCTCCCTCGCAGGATTGCTTCTTTTGCACCGTGTGCTCATGTTAATGTCAGCAGTAATAAAGACCTGAGGCAGAAGAAACAATAGAAAATGAGCACAAACTGGAGACAGTTTTTAGAGGTGGGCTGGAAACAGCGCAAGGAGTCGGAGGGGATGGAGGAGTGAGGGCAGGATGTGAGGAGTCTGTCAACTTCTCCCCGTCTGCTCCGGTGTTCGCTTGCTTCAGACTGAAGGGAGCAAATGGGCCTAATTCTCACTAGCTGTGTGAGAGTGTCTCCGCTGTCGAGCAGCATGAGCGGGAATTAGATCTATGGTTTGTAGCCTTCATCCCTTCCCAGACAGACTTGTTCCGGCTCACAGGCGCTGCCTAATCCGCACCTCTCTCCCGCTTGCACTCCTGGAAAATGACTTCACACAGCTGCCTCGAATGCCCAACGCAGCAATTCTCGTCTGACTGAACTCCCCCTACTCAAAAACAGAAAGAAAAAAAAAAGTCAGCAGACCTTCCATAGCTCATTTAACAAACCAATTCCTCCCCCAAAGTCCACCCCCCCCCCTTCCTCAGAGAGGAAAACAACAAGGAAAACAACAACAGCCCTACTTGATAATTTAAGGACTCTTTCCTCCAGAGAGCTGTCAGAATCAGAAGTGCAGGAGAAAGAAATAAGGAGCACTGAGGTGCCAGGCCTGTGTTCTGGTGAGTGGTTAGTTTTCAGGTCTGTACAACTGTTTCTATCCAGGTATCCATCAGGTTGTACCAGATATTTGAGGCTGCGTTAGCATTTGTCATGTACTGTAAAATAAATAGTTTACCAACTAAGTGGCTGCTGAGCTCATAGTGAATGATGGACGGGCAATGATTTATCCCACAAATGGAGTTTGCTCCAAAACAATGGTTGACTTGATTTTTAGATATTTTCTGTACTTTTAAGCAATACAGACCATAGCTGGTGTGCATTGAATCTGCCTATAAGATATGTATCACTATAAGGGGGCAATGATACAATGTATTGAGATACAGTATACTGCGTACTATAGGCATGCCGATGTAGTAGAGTTTTTCACTAGAGTAGAAACAAAAGCAACATAAATTGAACCAAAGCATGAATATTTGCATTTTAATTGTTATTAAAAAAAAAAAACAACTTCAATGCTGTAGAACAGTGGTTCTCACACTGTGGTACGCATACCACCAGTGGTACACAAGCTCTTTTTAGTAGTACGCAAAGAAAATGAACATTTTCACATTTACATTTTCAATTAAATAAATCTGAAACATACCATGCACAATTAATACAACATTTAAACAAAAATATCTTTCTAAACATCTTTCTAAACCTCTCTCCTGTGGTGGAAGCTAACAGGAAATGCCTATGCTGCTATATTCTAATGTTGGTCATCATGGTGGTACTCAGAGAGATCACTGTTTTCTCAGATGGTACAGAGAAGAAAAAGTTTGAGAACCAGTGCTGTAGAATAACAACACTGTATCGCTTAATGAAATATTGCGATATGTGCTAACAATGCTTGCGCGCTGCTTCTACATGTTCTTACACAAAAGGTGTCAGAATCCCCTCCAACCTTTTTAGTGTGACTGATACATTTGCAGATATTTGAGGTCCAGTTTTACACTAACGCTACACTACATTCCCTCAAATGGCACAGAGAGTTTCCCTCTTACTTTCATTGCTCTTCTAACACTTGTTCCGGTGAATCTTTTTAAATCAATGGGAGTTCTTTAGTTATTAAAGCTGGTTTTAGAACCAGTCGTAAGCAGAAATGGAGATGTTGGTGCGGAGTTGGAAATAATGTGTGACATTCTTTTCACTCCCCGCCGTGCTTGTCTCTCCCATCACAGTTCTCTGCACTCTCTGTGTCCAGTAATGAGTTGTATTACATGCTCTGTGGTGGACAGGTCCTGTATTAGGAGGCTGTATTATTATTTTTTTGTCTTTTGCTGCGAATAGTGTAGGGAGTTTTCTTTGTGTCTTTGAAAGCACTGGGTTGAAACGTGTGCAGCAAGTGAAGCTGATGAGGAGAGAGTGAGTCCTGAGAGGAACACTTGGTTGCCTGGCAGGCAGCATGAAGAGACACTGTGGTGCGTTTCCATGCACTTGTGCGTCAACACGTATCTAACAGTGTGTCGGTAAATGCTCAACGTGTAATCACTGAGGGAGGATTTGAGGGAAGTGTGCAGCAGGATGTGAGTTCCATATGACTGTTCAAAATCCTGTGAAGACTAAAGATGATTGGTGTTCTATGTTTGACTTTAAACGTCACATTTGTCTGTGCATGAGTGGCATCGCAACAAACCCAAAATGTAATATCGCTAATGAAAAACTGTCTAAAGGTCAATGAAAATTTTGTTAAAAAATACATAAAAGAATCCACTTGAAACAAACACTAATTGGTAATTAGAGACAAAATCATATTTTAATTCACTAATTTATTTGTTTTATTTGATTTACACTTTAAAAGTATAATCGGGCAGAAGTAGCCCCAGATATTTAAGAGCATTTAAAGTTTTATTTGACGAATGGAGGTCATTGACCACTAAAACTTAGCACAAACATCATCATCATTGCTTAAATACATAATAATGTTAGCCAAAAAATAGCTGAAAGAGACAAAATGCTAAATATTTACTGCATTAGTTTTAGATCAACAAGATTTTTGTTAAAATTGACTGTATCTTAAGTAAACATACAAACTACATATCACTCCAAAGCCGTGGCGGCAAAGATTTCTTTTTTGTTGTTGCTGCAGTGCAATTTTTTGTCTTTGTTTTTGTACGTGTGTGCGTGTGTGTGTGCATGCAGCATTTCAGCTTTAATTAAGTAAAGAGAGGAGGTAAAGTGGACAGGAGACACGATACAGACCAAGCCAACATGTGCTCCCTCATTTCTCAGAGCTGGACAAACAGACGGCTCCTGTATTTTGTGAACAGCCAACAATTGCGTAGCCGGGGCAGAGAGTCCACACAACTGCCATAAAGTAGCGTATCACAAAGTCAGTTGGTGATTGTTAAAGATTCGCGGCTGTTCTTCACAATAACCTGTTTCCGTTCAAGCATCGTTTTATCAATGAACGCTGTTGCATTCGGAATTTCTATGTCATAACCCTTAATTAATCATTATATAAAAATTATATATATTTTTTAAAAAAAATTAAATTTTAATTATAATCAAATATTGAGTTAACCAGTGATTCCAACCTAAACTAAATGGTGCGCAGCTAAAGATTTGTCTTTAGAGATTTAGATTTAGATAAATTGTCAGGTTTGTCTCTAAACGTCTTTGAATCAGATTAGCAAATCAGTTTATATTCAAAGTTTATCTACAGAAAATTGGGCTAACATCCAAAAAGATCTACAGAATTACCAAAAGGTGGTCAAGCTAATTACTGAAAATTAGTTTGCCAAAAATATTGCAAAACAGCCTGTGCATTTTCAAATGCTAATGAATGCCTGTAAGGTGGTTAAAATAAATAAATATAAATGTTATTACAAGTTTTAATGGCTCTAATTTGACCTGGAGACAAATGTATGAGCCCTGCCTGCAGTTAATCGGCCTAGTTAACCCCCAGTTTCAAACATTGTACCCCGACAGTGTTTATATAATGTGAATAAAATTCTTCTCCAGTCTCCTCATTTATCACTGAACCTCTTATTGTGACCCCTATAAGCGGTGGCGAGGGTCCTGGCTGTGGGCTAACCGATGTTATGAGCAGCATCACAGCTCAGGTCTGACTTCTCTTTGTAGGAATGTATTTTCTACTTAGATGGCAACAAACTGCATTTGCACTTAAAACATATTCTGTAATCTTCTGTTATTTTACATACAAATTGCATCCTGGGCAATGCATTCATCACTGCTCATATCCAGCCCTTTCTTAAATGAAAAATGTATCTGAGATGAATAATGGATCCCACCATAGTATAATTTTGTGTTTCTTGAATATCGTGGGGAGTCGCTGCTCTGTTTTATCCGCTAAATACTCCCCCCGCCCCCCCTGAATGATGCCATAGATAGGAGGAAAAATTACTTTTATACCAGGGTTATTGTTTACCTGAGGATTTCCACACTATCAACTCTCCTCGACACACATAATGTGTGGAAATATAGTGTAGGAAAAAAGTGTGCTGCCACTGGGAATCACGGTGCAGGGATTTCAGGACACTGCACATTTGAACGGTAATCAATCATGATCATGTACCGTACCTTGTAGCTTCTCATAAATTTAGTTGGTAGAACAGTTGGGTGTAATAGGGCTTTATGCAGAGCTGGTACATGTGTGTGTGTGTGTGTGGGTGGTGGGTGGTGGGGAGGGGGGCTGGCCGTGTGGCGGTGTTCCCGGGCCCCTCTGTGGTCCATGGGTGGGCAGTCTTGTGTAAAACCAGGAGAATTGAGGTTGAGTATCCGAGCCCTCTGTCTTTATCTCTAATTACATGGTGTGGATTGGGGAGATTGGGCAGAACTTTAAAACTCCCACAGATAGCTCGCTTCCTCCCTCAGCTGTAACACACCAGGGTCTGGTTGTGTGATGCAGAACCACGTCTGCTGGGGCTCTAATCCCACCAAAGACAGTCTCCCGGGGGATTGTTCTCCACTCTTTACAGAGCTCTCCCAGTCTACCACATTCCAACCCGCCGTTGGCACAGGCAGCCCACTCTGTCGTGCTCTAGTTGCTCTTGTCGGTTTTTGTTGTCCCCAAAGTTTCGGCGCCTGTCCTCGGAGACTTCCTGACACGGAGTCGCAGATGGAGGGCGGTGGACCGATGCAGCTGGTGTCACAATGTGGATTGGAATTCACAGTTGGGATAAAAATATAAAACAAATATGTCATTATACATATGTTTTTCCCATTTTGTTCATCCAGCTGTTTCCACGTTCAGCCCCTTCCTTCCTTTTTCCATTTTCATAGAATCCTTGACAGCCCTATCTGATAAAAAAAATAAAAAAATTCTTTCATTCTGTCTGTTTCACACAGGAGCACTTTTGTCATTTTAGCATTTTAGCTCATATCGTCTTTTTTAAGTATTTTATTTTCTTTAATCCAGGTAGCGCATGATGTAGCACATGCACGTGCTCACACTGTTTTGGTTTTTTAGCTCCTATTTAAATAGCCAGGCTAAAATGAACTACCTATATGAAAACATTCAATATATATTTACTCGTAGAATATATTTTAATTTATTATTTTAATCGCTCATGATCTACCAGAACTCCCTTTGCAACTGGCAGATCACAATCCACTTATTGTAGACCCCTGGTCTAGTAGAAGGGTTTATCTGTATGTCTCATTAGTCAATCAGTAAAAAAAGACCCTGACGAGTTCTAATTTTGCTTTTATTGTACAGCTTGACCAGTCCTTCTTGGCAAACAAACATTGGGGCTGCTGACGTTTCAACATTTTTAGTTTGATGACCTGCACATGAAATAGTAGACAGTGTAAAGATGGATATGGAACACTCTGGTGCCATATCTGTGCCTCCAGGATGACTAATGGACTGTCTGTTGTTTGCTTGCTAACAGCTCAACAGCAGGATGTTCTTGCACCATCTGCTGGATCATTTCTTAACATCTCAAACAGATATGTGTGATTTTAAACCTGGGGTTTAAAAATGTGAACCCAGGTCTTAAACAGATCCTTGAAGGTGTTTTTTATAGTTCTATCTAGTGTTCTCCTAATTGCTGCTGATGACAGAATATGATCTTCGCACTTTGTTGACTAGAGAATGTTTTCAAATGTTCAGTCCGGTGCAAATAAAAATGGCAGAATTATTCCTCGTCATTTGCTTCCTTTGCAAGTTTAATCTGCAGAAATCAATAAAGGGATGCATGTTGGGGCTGGGAGTCAACAGCAGCAGTGTTTGATGGGTAAACGGACAACCAAATGGATGGTGTGGGGGAGCATTCATCTTTCTCTCCTAAATTGGGCCGCAAGGCTCAGACTAATTGATTGATTGCATGACTTGCTGATATAATCAAAGCCTGTCCTGATTTATGGCAATAAATCAATTGATTAATAAAGTTTTGGTAGTTGGTTGGCCTCTGTGTGTGTGTCTACACCAGTGTGTTTGTGTGTGTGTGTGTGTGTGTAGGGGGTGGAGATCAAACATCTCCGGGTCTCACATCCGTCTTGGTGCCGTCAGCAGTGTTGGTTTAGTGTGGTAATAAGCAAGGCCCAGATCTCCCTGCTGACATTTACAAAGAGGCGTCTGGCTTTGACCCGCTCCTTAGATTAACCTCCACTTGTTCTCATGAGCACTAGTGATATTAAAAGATGTGCAGCAGCAGCAGCAGCAGGAGAAGCAGGAGAAGCAGGAGAAGCAGCAGCAGGAGCCGGGAGGAAAAAATGAAGTGTGACTTCTTTCGATGTACCGTTTGCATACATCATTAGGGGCAACAACAAAAAATCAATTGCACATTCCAGAATAAATAAAAACAAATATCTTGAGTGGAGTAATGTGAGGGGCCTCTTGTTGACTCTTTCCAGATTACATTTAGCCGACTGTTTAAACACTGATTTACAGCAAGATGGAGTTCATTCCCCCCTGTCTGCCTGCCTGTTCAGAATATGAAATGGAAGTTAAACACTTCTTCAGTCTTCAGTGTTATGGGGAGCGGGAGGAAGAGAATAAGGAGGAGGACGAAGGCTGTGGACGTGTGGGCAGTGTAGCATCAAATAGATTGTGTTTCCTCCCGTGTAAACGCCTAATGTGTGCCGAGCGCTCTGACACAGATGAATGTAAGGTATTTGCTGTAAAGACTTTACGGCCCTTTTGAGAGACAGGGCCATGAACTAGTAGAGGGGAACCTGCTCCACGCCCCCCTGACCACACGTCCACGCACACATACACACAGGCACGTATGTGCGCATCCTGCACACACACAGACGCGTTTGCATAAGTGCTTACACATGCACACATGTCAGGGCACACAGCCCTCAGAGGAGAGCAGCTACATCAAACTGGTGGAGCTGGTGCCGACGTCAGGGATACTTTATATTTGGGTCAGAAGTGTTGATGCTGACGAGGTGATGAGGATTATCACACAGGCAGACCCGCTACACACTACGTGTGTGTCCAGTGTTAAGGCAGAAAACAGTAGCAATGTGTTCTGACATGTGCGTGAGCGACCGTCTTTTCATTTGTATTATTTTGGGTTGAAAAAAGGCTAAAATGTTTTTACATCTACCATAATTAAATTGAAAGCAACCTCCCTGTGGTCACAATTAAATACAATTAGAACTAAAAATAAGCTCAATATCTAAGAGTCTCAAAACATGCTTAAAGTTGTTCCAAATATAGTTGTACAAACTTAAAATAACTGCCCTTGGAATTATCCAAATAATCCTCCAAACATATTTTTACAATACCAAATTCATTAAGTTTCCAGGGCCACACCTGCCTGCTGATCTTATTTTGATTTTTGTGTGTTGTTGTTCACCTTTCTCAGATGCCTGTTTGTACAGGTTTTATTCCCAACCCTAAATTTATTTTTGGTTCAAATGAGAAAAAAAAACAACAACAAAAAACCAGAGAAATGGAGATGAAGGAGGACGGGGGAGGAGGAGGAGAGTAGAGAAATGTTCCCCATTTCTCTCAGACAGGTGGCCCTGGTTCATGTCGCCAGGCCCCCGGGGCCTCGCTTAGTCTGAGTCTAATCCAGAGGAGGAACCCATCTCTCAGCACCACACAGGTGGTGTGAACTGCAGTCTTCTCTCCGTACCTGAAATATTCAGTGTGTCTTTGATCTCACAGCAGTCAACATGGGAAAACGAAGAGAGTAGAAAAAAAAAACCAAGAAAAACAAGAGGAAGAGCAGCTCACCTGAGAGACAACAGATTGACATTTCTTAAGAGGGAATAAACAATGGTAGGTTAGCTGCGTGGCGTCTCTGCGGCTTGTCGTTTCAGGTAAAAGTGGGCCACCGTCGTCTTGGCTCTGCCTCTGTGGCACCTTCTTCCTCCGCCAATATATGACCTCAATGATACAAGCTTCAGAGAAACAAGTGTCGTCCCAGTGCAACGTGCTTTTCTAACTTTGGAAGAAGCACAGAAACCAACAGAGTCCCAAAAGATCACATCCAAACTTTTTTTTACTGGGGTACTGGGATATGTTCTTGCCCATTTGGAAATACCTGATGACCAACAGTGATAGTAATATTATATTTTTATTTCAATTAAATTTGTATTGATGTCATATGTACATGCAGTGAGAACTTCTTATAGTATAGTATTGACAGTTAGACTAAATTTTTTTTAAACAAAATGTCCCTTAAGAAACAAAAAAAAAACCAAACAAAAAACAGTGATTAGCTAAAATGGCTAAAATCTGTAAAATGGCAAATAAGTAGTAAATTATTCCTGAGGAAAAATGGTCAAGTTAATGGTCCAAATTGTTCTGTATTTCTGTAATTTTCCTGTCAAAACAAACCAAAAAACCAAAACAAAAAACAGGAGCAGCAGTAGTAGTTTTTTCAAAGGAGGGTCTTGCACCTTTATGTATCCATGTGAGTTGATTATTTTGGTTCTCATGGCCTCTCTCGGGTTTCCACCCACCAGTCTGCTAACGAATCATAGGACTGTGTAATTAGTCACCCCGCGTGTACCAGACAATGACAATAGACACCCTGATTGTAACCGAAGAGTTTAAAAGGAGCAGAACAATGGTCGGCCTTAATGATGATGAATAAGGTGTTGTAATTGGCTGTTGTATGGACCATTCAGTCATGGATCGCAATTTGAAGTTTTTAATTGAGGACATTTGAAGTTGTTCACTGGACTCAACAAAGATTCAGGATAGTGTGTGACAAAGAGCAGATACAAAGATGTTATCCTGATTCAACATTACATGGGTTTTAACAAAAACTGTCAATGAATAGAATCAAAGCCTCTGCACTGACACAGTGATGTTTCACCAGTCTGTCAGCAAGGAACATGTGTGACCAAGTGTGAATGCCAGAATTAGACCCAGAGAAGTGTTGACAGGAAGTCTGTGGTGGACGAGGAAACCAAAACTTTGTTAATAACAGCTGAGACACCAACCATCACACCTCTGTGATGGTTGTGATGCTCACAGGATTCTCCCTGCCTTTGTAGGATTTAGCGTGCTGTTTGAAGACAACCTGATTGACTGGGGATTAATTATTTTGGATGATTAATCAGACTCACCGGTCCAGAGTTTAGAGTCGTCAAAATGAAATATGATTTCCCTTGTTGCTAAGACCTCACCATCTATTGTATGTTCAACCAATATAGTATTTCTTGGCACAAACCGCGCAGTATCACTGCAGGTAAATGTTCAAATTATTTTTTACAAAAAATGTGCAGCAAAAACATATCGTACTGTTGTAATGTTAGCCCAAATCAATGTTTTTTAAAAAAGGAACGGGAAAACACTTTACTGTTAGTCTAAAACAAAAACATAGGCAGAACTGTAACTGAAAAGAGTGTAAAACCTGAAAATATATAAATAACTACATACATCCACATAAAAGAGTACAAATAAAATTAGCCAAATGGTTAAGACCTGTGAAAAATTAGCTATAGCTATAACTAACCAAAACAGTAATCAAAAGTCAGCCATTTTTCCCGTTGTTGGAATAAGCAAATTGGAAAAATGCAAATAATAATGACAAGATTTGTGACAGCAGCCCAAAAAAAAAAATCTCACATTAAAAAAGTAAATGTAAATGTACCTTGAACCACACCCACCTGACCTGAAGGTGGGGCTAAAACAAACAGCTCTTTACAAACAATGTTAAAGCAGAGTGTGTTGTGGTCCAGGAGCAGTGTGATGGCGCTGTGACTGGGGCTGACTGTAGTAGAAATGAGGCAGATTAAATTTGAAGGAGCATTAGTTGGGGGTAGACAGATGAAGGGAGATTCCAGGTGACAGCAGCTCCTCCCTGCTCCATGTCAGAGGAGCTGAGCTTTCATCACCGTGTTTGAGCTCCTGGTCATGTAGGTCAAAGACGCCTCCTAGCAGACTTGCTTATTACTGGATGGTGCTTGAACACACACACACACCTTATATGGTCTTTTCATATGGACGAATGCCAACATTTGCTGTTCCCGCTCCACTCCATCCTCCTACTGGCTGTCTGTCTGAGTGGGCGGGTGGGGTTCCAGTAATAATGTTGAGGCCAGACTAGACTGCAGTGACTGGGGCCATTGATTGTGGCGATTTGATTTATTGATCAGTCCCCCACTCTCAAATGTGGTGTCTGAGATGCAGGGGCTAACCTGAGGTAGCTGTGGACAAACCTGTGCCTCACAGAGAAAGGGGAGGCGATAAGGAAACGTATGAAAGGAAACTACACTTATCTTAATCACACGTGGACCTGCTCTGCCTCACTGCAGCCCCAGTGTGTTCAGAGAGTGCACACATGTATATATATTTGTGTGTATTCATGTGTGCCCGGCTACTCTTTGTGCAAGTTACGTGAAAGTGTGTGTGTGTGTGTGTATTTTGCGTCGGTGTGCAAATGCGGTGGGGGTTGTGAGGCAGCACAGTCACCAGGCAGAACAGAGTGGATCTATAAATTGATGGAATTCAAAGCCTCCAGCATCGATTACCATTATAACAAACAGCAGCACACAGAATGTCTGATTATTTTTAGACAAAGATTCTGTGCTCTCAGCAGCAATTCTGCTGATGCTGTCACACTTTCAGACATCTGCCTATGATTGCAATTAGATGGGATACAAAAAGAAAAATAATACCCCATCTGCATTTTTCCCCTTTTTCCTCCTCCTACTCCCTTTTTGTTCCTCTTTAATTTGTGCTGTCCAACCCCAGCACACATACACACTCACCGGTTGTCAACATTTTCTACCCTGGGTTGTCTTTGTGAAAGGCTAGAAAATAGCTTACCACTACAGATGTAATCAAGATGAGCTCGCTTTAATGAATCAATGTCATATGTACTCCAGCACAATGCATTAGCCGTCCACGTATGCACAGGTTGTTCTAGTACGTTTTTCTGCTTTTTTTTTGTGCTTTGCAAGATAAGATTTTTTTTATCGATAATTTACGTTCATGCATGTCCACAAGTTTTATTGAAACATCTGATAGTTGAGGTTGCACTGCAGCCTGTGAGTTTTGCATTCAGTTGAAATACACGTCAAGTGTGGAGTAAAGGTATAAATACAGGGGTTAGTACTATGTATGAGGAAATGACATGGTGGTTTGGTTCCCAACTTTAACAGAGTGAAATTGAAAGTGAATTGAAACGAATTGAAATACTATTGAGAACATAATAACATGTATAACTGTCTATATATGAGTTGCTGCCACCTAGCAAACCTTTGGTCTTTAAATAGAGTCAATAAATGATTGTCATGTGGATCACGTGACTACTGTACAACCCTTGATTGAGTTCATCCTGGGTCACTCTGTCTCTGAAGTGTAGACCTACGTTGGTAAAACCAACTACTTGTGAGACGTGTTTTTTTTTCTGCCCCGTTCAACAGTTCTTTCAGCGTCGAGTCCATTTACTGACTGCCAATAGGCTACAGGTCTATCCTGTTAAAGCCAATAAGCTTCTTGTTTCTTGGTCTTTGTTTTTGAGTCAGAAGTCCCTGAGATTGCTTTTTCCCTTCACAGATTGAATCCTAGCTCACCAGCACTGGTTCCACACTTTGAAATCCCTTTTTCCTGTCCCTCCAGCCCCAGCGACAGCTTCACCCTCCCCTGGGGAAACTCATCAATTATGGCTGGATGTTTGACTGGCAGAGGCTTAATGACAGGAGCCCTGTATTGACACGACTGCCACACACTGAAAATGTGGTCCCAATCGACCTTTTTAAAACCTGTCAAATTATTACAGGAGCTCCTTTTTAAACCGCACGCTGAACTTGTCTTTTGCATTTGTAAGTGTTTCAGACAGAAACAGAAGCAACATGTTCATGCAAATAAATCCTGTGAAGGATGGAAATCAGCATAATGGGAAGTGAGTGTTTATCAGGGGATCATCAGGCTCCTCTGTTGGACAGTTTGATATGGATCAAATCTGATTAGGAGGCAGAGGAGAAAAAGAAACTCCTCCAGTATTTTTTTTCTCTCCTGGTAGCTTTGCCAAACACTACGTTGTCAAGTTCCTCCCATCATCCATCTGAGAAAGACGCCCAAAGTAGCAGACACTCTGTTCTGCTTCACTTCCCTAAAGAAAGGCACAGTAGTTCTCATTTGATGCCCTGTTGCCCAGGCCTTCCTCCCGTATAACACTGTAGGAGAGATGGAAGCGTTTTCAAAAATAACTGTACCATTATGACTGCACTGCCTGACTCTCATAAAGCACCAGCATTCAACACTCTCATCAGCTACAATGAAAAGTGAGTCAGACTCCATGCCGAGGCCGCTGAAGCAGAGGCGAACTTGAATCACGACACTGTTATATCTTAAGTACTTCTAAAATCCACTCAGTCACTTCTGGAGGAAACTTCTCTTGGCAAGATTAGCCAGAGCCGGGGTCATTTCAATCCAGCGGAGGTTGGCTGTCTTCTGAGCTTTTATTCTAATCTCTAGAAAGACTCGTTCAAGATAGATTGCACAGGCTAACAAGAATTCCTAAAGTATTGTCACACTTTTGCTAGAAATGTCACGTATTGGTCTAACAACCTCTGGAATATTACACTATTAACCAGATATATAGTCTGAGCCTGTGAATAATCATATATAATATATATTTAACATAGAGAAATATAGAAATACCTAGCTTCCACCCAGTGTCTAGATTGAGACACAATCGAGGCTAAGTTTAAAAAAAAAGAATTGCAGTAAAATTTTGAGTGCCAGAATTTGATCGAAAAAGTTAAACACAAAATTCATCACAGCCCTCTTCCTGTTGAGTTCTGAAGGTGGGATGTTCTGTTTGTGTTCTGTCTCCCAACCAAATCCGCCGCTCCAATGACTAATGGTTTTCCCAGGGCTGTCTTTTGAGGTCAATGCCAAACCATTCAAGGACTAAAAGAACTTTGGCAAAGTTTTACGAGCTTTACTGCATGTTCATGCCCCACACTGATTTAGACTAAATAAAAAATGTCCTTGACTCCTTAATGTGCTGTTTCTCCTTAAATCACCCATGTACTTTTGAATGACAATGACAAAAAAAAAACAACCCTGTTTTATTTAAAAAATGTTTTCTTCCTCTCGACCTGTTTGAATTAATTATTGCTGGTAAAACAATGATTACTGGGCAAACCCATCATCAAACAGCTAAACTAAGTCCAGTCAGGTTCACAGCTGAGGCTCAAAGTGTAATGTTTAAGTGCTGCATCATAGTGTATAGCTTTGCATTTTTTTTAACATTTTCAACATAAACCAGACTGTCTTAAGCCTCTTCATGACTTGTCAGTCCATGGACTTAAACCAGAGACCCTTCAATTAACCCGCAGCGTCTGACCCGACACTCTGCCAACATCTCCTGAGGCCCCTGCTGCTCAAGTTTTACCCCATCTATTTTCTTTTCTTTTTCTTTGCGTGATGATTTATTAAATTGCCTTAAAGTGAGAGTGAGGATTAATTAAAACATAGTCAATTTAATTTTCCTGCCGTCATATATAAATTCACAGAGGTAATTGAATCCCCCGCCCTTTTCCCCCACTTTTATAATAATCTAACCCAGCCGTTAGGAAAAGGAGATTTTTATCGAATGCCGGTCTGAGTCAAAGGAAGAGGAGGTGTGATGTACACTTGTCTGTTAGAGCAACACAGCACACTTTAAATCTGCTTTTATTTCTTTTTTTTTTCTTTTTTTCCTCTCCTGCTTCTTCCTGTTTGCTGAAAGAGCCGGGAATTGGATGACGGATCGATAATATTGGATTTGTGGATGGCATGTGGTGCAGCTGAGTCCAGCATGAATGTGAGCTTCCTGAGACACAGACAGCTTTGAATAGTGGATCTAGTGGAGCGCTCTCTTATTTTGGTGTAACACAAACGTACAAACAAGAAAATGTACAGAGATGTTAATGGAACAGTGAATCTGTGGTCAATGCTAATGCTGCTGCTCCTGCTGCTGATGTTTTCCGGTAGCACTGAAAGGGTAACGGATGCGGCTCTCATGTATTGGAAATCAGTGTGGGATCAATACATCAATTGTTGCCTAGATTGAACAAAAGCAGAACATGGATCTGACCTGTGGTAATTACAGCAGCAGCGGAGACATTTGCAGGTTTGAATCGGCTTAAAAAAAACAGCCTTTTAGTTCAGGAGGAAGCCCTCATTTGTTTGTAAGAGTGTTTGTCAGGTCTTTACACGTGACTCACCTCCTCTCTCTGCCCTCCCCTCCCCGTTGCCCTCACTCCCTCTCTGGCTGCTCTATAGCTGTTGCAAGCGTATCGATTATTTCAAATACTGATTATCTAAAAGGCCTTCTGCTACTGTAGGCATTGGATTTATTTTGGCTTAATTATTTATGGGCCAGTGCTAGCTGTAAGTATTACTGCCGTGAGATCATGAAGGATTACATTGTTAATATTCAGCAGTATATTTTTATTTATGTACACTCTTTACTGGACCAGGGTTGGCAGACCAGCTTTCCCTAAAGTGCCTCCTCTTTCGTCTCACTGTTTCATTCCCTATTTTTCCTTTGTGTGTGTGTGTGTTCACAGAAGGAGCTAAATTCTGTAGCATCTGAGCTGGCGGGTCGACAAGAGGAGAGTGAACATTCCCACAAGCACCTGGTGGAGCTGAGCAGGGAGTTCAAGAGAAATGTCCCTGAGGTGAGTCTGGCAGAGCTCCACTCCACAGATACACAAAATACACACAAGGGCATGTGTCATTTTCCTCACCCTCACCTCCTCAGGTACTGAACCACCACATCGCTGCCTCTCATGCCCACGCATCAACCTTTGTACATGGAGTTCTCTATTTAGAAAAATGCATTCAAAAACACCCATCTGCGGGATTGAACATTTTAGCTTTATCTATAAACTTTGCAATGTAGTATATATAATATGGATTAATTTCACTAATCTAAATCAGTTTTACTACCATGGTCCTTTTTTAGTTTTTAGATAGGACAACAGCTTTAGTGTGTGCTTTTGATTGTAGTCATGTTAGAAAAACAAAATGAAGAACAAGACTCAAGTTTTTCTGACTGCCTGAGGATGTCTCACTTTTTTTTCCCTCCTGCTTCTCACATATCTCACAGGGTTCTGTCCCTTTCCCTTCTTCTCAGCAACATGTGTTTGAGTTAATTGTTGTTCAATGTCACCTTTCCTTATTTCCTTCTCTCTGGCCCTGGACTGTCTCTTCAAGATGATTTGACTTTTTAAAGGTTTTCTTGTTGCCGCCTCTCAGTCTATATTTGTGCATCTAGTTTCCTATTTTTTTTATTTTTTTTGGTTTGTTTTTGTCTCAGACTGTACCTTAGCACAAAAAGAACCCTGCATTACTCACATTATCACATCTCACCACTTTAGAGAAGTTCTATTTTACCTCCCCTGCTTGTCCTCCCTGGAGTCCACAAGCTCAGTTAATATTTAAATGTCAGGCCTTGGTGTATATTATTAGCCTCTGTCATGGTGGGGTTAGAGTCCAGGCTCTTTTTTTTTTTTTTTAGTTTCCACAGCTTCTCTGCTAACATATTAGCTTTAAAGCTGAATCACCAGCTGATAAAAGTCAAACATTTATTTTAAGTTCAAAACTTTTGACCAGGAGGTGAAGTCACGGCCGTTGGTGACGTGGCATGACAAACACACATCACGCTGTTCATTTTTCTTTACCTCACTGCTACGACTCGAATGTGAATGGGTTTAAAGCCTGAAGAGTTTTCAACAGACAGTCTCTGTTTAAATAAAAGAGTTTTCACTTCTGTTTGCTGTGACTACGCCGGCTGATGATCCCAGCCTGTGTATGTGGTGTGCTGCTGTAATCTTGTCAGTATAATACAGGCATTTAAGTCAGGATCAGGCTGTCACCGCCGGCTCACCTGAGGCTGTGAAAGCTCACACCAGTCTGAATCTCCCAGCTCTGACACAAACCGCTGGAAAGCCCCACTTTTCAAACATGCCCACTCAAACCACTTAGGTTAAACCTCTAATACCCACAGCCCATGACATCATGCCTAACACTTACACACACGCACAGGCATGTTGAGAGCAGATATAATCCATTTACATGTTCTATTTCCATCCTCTGTCCTGGTGCTGTTTGTGTCTCACTGGAGGACCAACCGTGTGGTTCTTGATCAGTCGGAACATCTGTGAGATTTCAAAAATGCTGAGGCTGAGTTTGCTTTTTTGTGTGTTTGTAGGAGGTTCGGGAGATGGTGGCACCTGTGCTTAAGAGTTTCCAAGCTCAGGTGAGTCACAATTTTTTTTTTTTCATTTCACAGGTGCAGGAAACATATACAGTACATCGCCTGCAAACAACACAGAGAAAGTCCGAAAAATTATCTCGTAAGAATGATTTCACCAGTGTTTGTTGGGAAAAGAGATGTTACTCTTGCTTGACATCCACTGTTATAGATCAGCAGTGAATGAGCTGGCAGAGTGGACGAGGAATCCCTGGAATCATTTTCATGTTACTGCTCATGTGGTGCTTATTGACTGATGCCATCTCTGTCAAAGTGAGATAGCATCTATCTGCCATTAGATGATCAGATATCTTGCTTCTCATATTTTCTTGGCTGAGACAAGCCCTCATTTCCTGTTGTGATGGTCAATTCAGCGTGCCCCCTCTGACGTCGCCATATTGAAAAAGTCATCTGATACCTACCAAGACTCTGCTCCAGCCATTAAACCAAGGTCATAAATCACATTTGTGAGCCGAGTTATGGTCCGCAAAGCAGAGGCTTATGGAAATGATACCGCAAATATGTTTCCAGCCTCACTCTCGCCTCCGAACACCCGTACAGTGCGAACCTGAAAGCCCCCATCATCGGTAAACATGAGAACACTCAGTTCTCTTGGAAGTGATTATTGGCAGCTTCTTTTTTAATGCTTTATAATTGACTATGCCCGAGCAACCGTGTTCCCTGGCAGCGAGCTATCACATTCGCTGCTTCACTCTGCGCTGCTCTGTGCTTGATTTGTGTGCTAATTCAATTACCCCTGCTGTAAAGTCACACAAATATCAGAGGCACCCTTCCGTATCTTTATTGTGCAAACAGGAGCCCATAGGATTAATTTAAGCACTATTGATGTCTGACAACTGGGAGTCTTGCGATGCTTCACAGTAGATAAAATAGATGGTGGATAATGAGTGATGATTTTTTTTTCTCATTAGCTACAAGCCTCTCTGGGTACCACTTGGTCTGTGTTGTGTAACATCCTCAGGATTATGTGCTGTATAATTGAGGACATAATTTTCCCCAAAAATGACTCTTGAAGGAATGTTTTACGTGACAAGCTAGAGCACGTGTCCTTTGTGCCAAATGCGGCCTCCCACGTCATTTTGTGTGGCCATGCTGAGTTTCTCAACCTGATAAATTCAAAGTTTATTTTTCATCACACAGAACAAATGTGTGATATTTATAACTTGAATAAATAATAATCAAATGTAGCAACAGTTATTATTAAGTTATGGAGTAGTTACATCTATACAGTCTTACAGTTACCACAGGTAACTGACCGGTCAGTGTTGCTGATGTGGCCCCTGGTGAAAATGAGTTTTTAACACCCCTGGGCTAGAGCTAACATGCAATGAGTTTTTTATTATTTTTGTATAAGGATGAGGAATGTAACTCTTCTCTCCTGATAGATATTGGTTTGAAGACTGGGTTTATGTCTTCTCAAAGAACGAGAAGAGAAGTCTTCAAAACAATATCCAACTGGCGACAATATCTAGTCGCCAGTTGGATCAAATAACACACCATAATAGTAGAATCCTCCTGTGTCTTCTGAAACACTCTGACCTTTTTGGTAATGTCAACCAGCTTGCAGAGGCATGTGAACTTTACCCAGCGGTGGCCCGCACAACCTGAGAACAATCTGTGGGACCTCAACCTGCTGCTGCAAGGGTAGAAGTTGGAGGTGCAGTTGGATGTTCTTCTGTGTCTGTGGGGTTTTGGATGAACTAAAGCTCCCCCGCAGCTGTGTAAAGGTGGGGAACAGTACAAAAGTCTGTGTGTTTGTATGAAGATGAGAGAATTATTGTGGTCCCTGTCTTCACCCTCCCCAGTTCGGGGACCCTCAG